GCATTGCACACAGTCTTTCCACTTCAAGTGATTTTTTTTTTTTCACTTCCATTTTTGACCAATTTGTTAAAATCTGAACGCCCCTAAATCTGTTTGGTTTTGATATTTTAGAGCCCATAAACGCTCAGTATAGTCTTATATCTTATCTTATGCCTATTTTCAAATCATCTGTTGCACCTATAAGCACATTAAATGGGATGTCATAGTGCACCTGTACATCACTGGATCAGGGCTAATGACATTTTTAGGGATTTTGAAACCTAGTTTATAGTTATCACATTGATTGTGTTGTGCACCAATGTTACCAAAATCCTGTCATCACTTATACTGGTGCTTGAGGTGTCCCAAACTCAAAGCCTCGGTATAGTAAATTTATGTACAAGGCCTCTTTTAGCTGTGGACCTGGATGCACCAGGTCATGGCATTAATAAGGCAGTTCTATAATTCCCAGTTTGTGACATTTTAATCCAGACCATGATCTTTTCCTAAAGTAAAAAGCCAGGAGGGGAATGTGTACACTGTACTAAATTCACATATGTATAACCCGTGACATAAAGAGAAAGAGTTTAAAACCAATTCACCTGCGCAGCCTTACTCTAGTGGTGACAGTTACATCTGTAACCTCACGCTGGTTGTTTCTTTTAAACGAACCATCTAAACAGGCTTTGCTCAGAACAGGGTGGTTTGCTTCGCTGAATGCAGATGATACCTCCGATCATCTGCACATTCATATGTACTGACAAAGTGGGACTCTTCCACATTACACAGAGAAGCCCAGCTGTTGAGCTGGCCTGTGCTCCCAGCATTTGATACATGAATGGATCAAGTGTCTGCCTCCTCTGTGTCTCGACAGAAGAACTCAAAGACCATGAAGCTGTCAATATGGGGCTAATCTGTTTTGAATATTTCTGCCATGCCACTGTGTGTGTGTATGTGTGCTTGTGCTCTTGTGTGAAATACACAGCAAAGAATAGAAGGGGGTTGGAAAAGAGACAAGATGACTTTCCCATCCTACAGAGCTGAGCTTTAAGAGCTTTGAAATGGATTTGTCAGGCGTATGTCTCAACTTTCAAGCCATTTCTCATCAGCTTTGCCTGAAGTCACACCTTAAAAACTGAGAGGACCTTAATGATTGGGGTTAATGACTGAAAGAGATGTACAAAAACAAAAGTCTTGAAACACCCTTCATTTCTTTCTATTTTACTTCCAAGGACCAAGACTTTATTGTAATTTTTCAAGCGGTATTGAGCACTAGTTCTCCAGGTTTTCTTAATGCCTTTCTTTTTTTCTTGTTTTTTTGGACATTTACTGCTTAATTTTGAGAGAATTTGTTTTCTGAAGTCAAACAAAGAAAAGTCTTTGAATGAATAAAGCAAAAAACAAAAAAAAAAAATAAGCAGAAGAACTTTGGCACTTTGTTTCTAGCACCCTGTAACAAAAACCCCTCATTTGTATCTATGAAAAATATCAATGATAACATCGTTTGACAGATAGAAACTTTTAGACCAACAAGTTCATTCCTAAAGAGCTATTAGCTGAGAACTTGGTATATCTCAGCATGGTGTGCAGTGTGTTCCAACAAAATTGAGAAAACTGGACAAGTGGAGGATAAAAAGGAAATATCAATCCTAGAAAACTGAGCAATATTTAAAAGTCACATGCTTAATAAGGGTAGACAGAAAAGACCTGACAAAGGACCTGAGACATGCATCTGGACCTTTAGCCAATCCATTTACTGCTCACTGAAGCCTCATCAGCAATCGTCTCAGTGGAAGGATGGCTCTCTAAAAGCCATTCTTCATAAAGGGAAATGGGGAGAAAGTGCTGAGGTATACTAAATTACAAACTGGACTGAAAATCCATGACAACAGGTCTGAGGGACCAGTGAATCCAAATATCCGCAGCCATGTGTAAATCACTGTGAAAACTCTGTTTGGGTCTGCATCTCAACCAGTGGTGTTGATGAAATCTTCATGCCATATTTTTCATAGCTCATTAATGGAAGGATCCATTTCCTCAACACAGGGCCACAGGTCAGACAGATACCCATCCAACTGCCATAAAACACTGTGGCATTATCTGGACAGGTCACCAGTCTTTTATAGGGTCAGCACACAGAGACAGACACCCATTTGTGCTCATATCACAGACCAAACCACCAGTTAGCCTAACATGCATGTCTTTGGATCGTATGAGCTCTGTAGAGAGAACCCACATACACACAGGGAGAACATGCAAGCTCAAACCCTGGACCTTCTTTGTGTGACATCATAATGCCTGAAACCATAAGACAACATCCAAGGTCCTGCAAAACATGTGTTGGCAGATCATGTTAAATTGCAATAATAATATTTATTTATAGAGCACTTTCTAAACTCGCATGTACACAAGCAGCATAGAATAAAGTAAACAGTGACTGACAGACTGTAGCGCCTCATTCTCTGAAAGCTGCCCAGTGGAGCAGAAACATTTGGTCTCAACATGCAACTGTTGCTATGTCAGAAGAAATATTTATGCACCCTACATTTAGTTAGCTGACAGCTAATGAGAACTATGTACAAGCTACCAAGGCCCTTGTCAATATGTTAAGTTTATGCCACATCGTTCTATAGGCTTCATACTGTCAAAATGATTTTGCATAATTTATAGAAACACAGCAGCCTGAAAATGGCATTTATATATTTGTTTCATCAGTGTCAACGTACTTGTTGCAGATGTAGTTATAATGAGTTTCGCCCTTCTTCTTTCACGCACATCTTTTTTTTCTTTTGACTATATTCAAGTTTCTGTCTGTCCATTTAAATGCTCAGTGTTTCAGTTAGAAGTATGTAAAAACCTCCAGTTATCCTGCTGTCGTTAGTCCCGCTTTACTACAGCTTTTAAGCTATTTTAAGTTGTTTTACCAGTAGATGGAATTGGCAAGGAGACACCTTCATGCAAACCAAAGTCAGTGGAGAAACATAAATTGTTTCCTCCTTCCTTTTCCCTCTGGTCCTTTAAGCAAATATGACAAAGCCAAACACAGTTTAAAGTAACAAGTCAAAAATCCAGTAAAGCGATGCAAGGTTCTCAGATAGCTTGTAAAGAAAAGGTTTAAAAACACCAGTGACTCTGTTGACCTGACCTATTAACACGGGTAATTTCCCAGCTTCCCAGCTGTGACCGGAGAAGCTGTGTTACCTCAAGCTTTTAGCTTCACCTCAAGAGTAGATAATATATAAATATCAGGCTTAGTACAGACTTGTATAAGATTAAGATGTGTATATAACATTAAGAGAGAAACTCTTCACAGTCTGAAACAGTTTTTTAGTTTAGGCAGGTGAAGAAGAGTGGAGATGACTGATGTCTAAAATAGTCTTTGAAAGATAATAACGATTACATTTTCAAAATAGTTTTAAGACGATACAAACAGTAACTTTGTAGTGTATACACCAACATTTTTTTTTCTTCTAACATTCTCAGTGTTTTCAAATGGGGAACCGTAACAGGCTGACGTCTACATCTGTCATCATTCAAGCATTTTTCTGATCATGAGAACCAAACTGTGTAACTTGAGCTTTGCATTTCTACTCATGGTACCTGTCCCAAACAATAAGCACAACTGCAAACAAGATTTGCCTGTGCGATTATCCTTCTCCTTCTTCCTTTGCTCTATTTTTCATCACTTTCTTTCTTACCTCCTCTTCTTTTTCTTATCCTACAGCTTCTTGTTCATGTTTTCCTTTCTTTGTTTTCATGTAGAAGTACTCCTGATACGCTCCATAGTGTCAGGTTCTGCTGCTGCTGACAGACCATCATTTAGCAATTAAGCACCCTGTGTAGTGGACAGATTGCAGCTTATTTAGTTTTTCAGGTCATTAGGAATAAACCTAACACACATAATGAGATGAAATTCAGATGGTTTGTTTGCAGTGCTGCGGCTTTGCAGCACTTTTCTTTCCCTGAAGTCATGCTGCTGATTTCTGGCCACAATGCAGGAACATGAAGCCACACATGCAGAAACACACTGCTGTCTTAGATTCATGGTAACGGGAATATTCAGAGTGTGTGATATCGAGCTGTTAGGGGCATTAGCGTGTCGAGGAACATGTGTGAAGGGAATAATCTGCTTCCTCCCATTTCCTCAGTTTGTCCTTTTTCTCCTTTTGAAGGTTTTTCACACACTGGTCCTGTAGAGAAGAGTTTGCCATCGTGGCACAGCACTGAGGATCTGGTTTCAAAATATCTGCCAGGCTATCAAGCTGTTACTATGCAGCATGCTTTCAACATAACATAAAACCATGTTGGTTTTTCTCATTAGATACGGTACAGAAGAGAGCGAAGGCTAGAGAAGGGACCTTTATGCAACAGGAAAATGCAAGACGAGAAATTTTCCTCTGCGCTTTAACCATCATCAAATGCGATGTTACAGCTAAACAGCCACTACTTAGATTTAACCATGTCTCCAGAATTGAAATTCATTAATAGAAAGGATTCACTTTGGTTTTATGTTTAATGTAGAAGGACAAAAAAAAGTCTCCTCGTCCTCAATTTTGTACTATATAACCCTTGTAGGTGTTGATGTCAGAACACTAGGTAGACGGTTAAGAAGGAGGGAAGTATGTTTGAAATGGAATTTTTATCATAGGAAGTCAATGCATCATACCTGTGAAACAAAACTCCAAGCATTGGATAAATACCGGCATGCAGAAGCCAACTTCAGCATTACTCAAAATGAAGGCAGAATTTCCACAATGTCATGTTATATATGCACTCCAAGTAAAGAAACTCGTAAAACTATTTAGGTCTTGACTTAACCAAACAATACATTCAGCATAAATAGACAACCAGAATCACAGCAGGCGCCTGACTCAACATCTGCTCTACATTACAGTGCTGGCGAGCGCCGTGATTGATAGTAAATGAAACTCGATTTGGGGACTTTTGCTTTAGCTGAGGGATCGTTGCTTCAACACTTAGAACAAATCTCTGACTCTCTTCCTCACTCTTTCCCTCCCCAGTCTCTCGCTCCCAGGTGTCTTCTCAGCGGCAGGAGGTGCTGACGGAGAATGCGACCCGGATGTCAGAGCGCTCCCAGCTGCTCCAGCAGACCCTGGGAGAGGAGTCCAAACAGGCTGACCTGCTGGAGAACATCTGGAAACTTGAAAACCTCTTCCAGAACCACAGCAACTGGCTGCAGAGGCTGGAGATCTTCATCAAGGTACAACACAAGATATCTGGATGCCCCATTTTATTGTATCTTAAATGTTTATAGAGGAAAGCGTGATTAATGAAGGTGGCCCAATTTAAACAGGAATACTCAGAAATGGTTCACCCCAGGCATCATTGAGTGTTTTGTTACTTTGATCGTTAGAGACAAGCTCGTCTCCCCCATTTGACCAAAGAACAGATGCCCAGTCACCCTGTAGTGTTTTCAAGAATACTCTTTGGGGCTCTTCTATTCCACACCTCTGCTGTTAGCAGGAGCCTAACGGACTGGCCTGGGATCTGTAGCTCACTTGATTGGGTTCACAGTAGGCACAACAGTTGGTGGTACTTGACCTTTTTTTGCTTATGGATCTCCTCTGTCTGATCTATCTGGGAAACAGTGATTTAGCAAAAACATTTCTTTTTTTATGCCTCTGATGTTGACACCAGATGTGTTGGAGAGTTCTTTTAAGAATCTCTACTACAACCCTTTCTCAACCTTCAGCTGCCAGTGGTGTTGCATTGGTACGGCCACTGTTCGGAGGCCATGGCTCAGTTAGGGGCTTCTGCAAACTGGCTAGCTGGTGAAAAGAGAAGTGCCAAAGAGGAAGCATTGAAGGGCAACAAACCAACAATCCATGCTTAATTAATTTAAGTTTAAGGTTGAAAAATAAAGGCTGATGATAGAAATACTACCATTAGTCCGAGTCCTTTTCCTTGCAGGGCTTGGAGGTGGAGCTGAGGAGCATGCAGGCTCACTCTCTACAGTCAGAAGGCTACCTGGTGCAGTTGGATGACAGGTTGTCCTCGCTAAGCAGCTCCGCGGGTCGGAACCTGACGAGCTTGAGTTCGGAGGTGGCCCGAGCATCCACGTGGCTTCGTGATCATGACGTCCTGCTGAGGTACACGTTTAATACAGTTTTTGTAGTCTACTGCATTTAATAACATTCAAATGGACTTCTGTGGGATTCTGATTTACTTTAGGGAAACCTCGAGTCATGTGAGTGACCTGAGGGAAAAATTAGACGAGGTCAACTGGACAGTGGGAGCTGTCAACCACACCTTCAGCAACGATGTCAGTATTCACCATTTGAAGATACGTGACTTACAGGTTAGATGTTCGTAATAGCTTGCACAAAAGTTACCTCTACATCAGACCTACTTTTCATAAACTTCATAAAGAGTCATAAACGTCCCACATTCAGATCCAGATCAGCAACATAACAGAGGACACCAGCAGTTTATGGGTGACCCATGTCCACACGGAGGCTCAGTTGAGGAATGAAATGGAGATTCTGAACACAATCACAGAGGACCTGCGTCTGAAGGACTGGGAGCACTCCATGGCTCTGAAGAACCTCACAATATTAGAAGGTGAGCAAAAAGATGTTGATGTTTGTTCTCATCGGCAAAATATGAATAGGAATGAAGAAGAATAGTTGGAGTATAGCGTTAATAGAGAATAGAGAAAACATTTATACTTTATTAAAAACTTGAAAGAAGACCTCTAAACTGACACGCAACACGCAAACAGGTCATTTGGTTTAAATTCTTCAGAAATATGTGCTGATAGATTCAGTTAGTAACTAACTAAGTAAGTAAAATGCATTTTATAGTACATTTCACAGATAAAAATCACAAAGTGCTGAAATTAAAATATGACACATCATAATAATGTAAAAACATAGAACATAAAAGCATTAGCGAGAATGGCTTACATGGTACACTTACTGAATTTGCTGAACTTGCTAAACATCTTACTAAAGCTCTTCTGTAGAATTATTCTGCTACATTGTCTTCTGTGATCACGTAATACCCCATGACTTCATGATATTGAGACTGTGGCTCTATAGAAGCTGCACCATCTGTTGCAAAACTCCTTGTTCTTCATGTAACTGCGGCTTGATTTTCATTATTATCATTATGGCTGTATGGCTGAACAGTCAGATCCCTCTGAGAACCTAGAGCTTTTGCATTGTACTGTAAAGCCAGCGTGACCTTTATAAAATAAAATGTACCTTATATATCAAGAGAATACATTAAAAACATGCAAGAACATGAGAACTTTACATCATAGTATAATTAATCCCTTTGGGTGGACCTTAATGCCCCAAAAGATTTTTAACAACAGCACATCTGAGCCAGTGGATGCTTGTAGTGTGATTAAGTACAAGTGACCCTAGCATGCAAACATGATTTTACATTGTGGGAATATTGCCCAGGGCTTTTAAGCAGCTCTGAATGTTCTTCCTCCAATTTGTGCAGAACTGATTAGTCCCGACGTGGTATGACTCTCGCTGCCAGTGCACCAAATGACTTCTCTGGCTTGTTAAAATCAAAATAGGTATGCCATGATGTAATGCTGGCAGGGGACACAGCCCAAGCTGATTGATGACAACTGAAACTGAATGAGACCCCTGATCTCGTGTCTGTTTCACGTGTGGGTGGGATGCCATTTCTCCTGAGCCTGGAAACAATTGTGGGTTAAATTTAGACTCTACATACAGAATGAAAACTCAATCACTCTGCTCTGTCATTGGTTTTTGCTCTTTAGCCCCATTTGTTTGTTGTTAGCTCTCAGTCACCTCGGCCAAAAAAGGTTTTACATCTCTATCCATGTTTACCCTCCTTTTTGCTCTCATCTCTTTCCTCTTCTCTTCTTATTCAGTTCATTTGTCTTTAATTTCTCTGACTCGCTGTGATCTTTGTGCCACACATGGTACTTGTTGTATTAATAACAATAACATGAGAAGTTGTTTAAAATATCGCTCCGTGACTTTTTTTGATGACTGATGCAAAAACTGTATAACTTACGGTAACATCTGCCTGCTAAGGGTAAATACACCAGATGATTTTAATTACGGCTTCCATATGTTAGTTCAGCCAGACAAGTCACATCTGAAATGATTCTTTCGTTACAGCAGAAGACTACGGCTAGAGTTCGGTGTCCAGGCACCAGAGCTCATCACTCCACTCAAATACGATATACAAATTGAGAAGTGACAAGTAAACATCCCATCAAAGCCTACAAATGGATGGTTTGGTTCATCCATCAGGGTCAAAACAGCATGGTCAAAATAGCTTGCCAAACTGGGAGGTTGTGTTTGGTAAATGACGTGAGGCATGTTATTGTGTCTGATGCAATGCAGCTCGAGTTGCTTAGTGAACTGTTTTGCAATCTTCCATCCATCCATACATACATACATGCATTCATGCATACATACATAAATACATACATGCATATATGCATAAATACATACATGCATAAATACATTTTCTTAACCACTTGTCCAGTTGAGGGCCATGGGGGTCCCATGAGTATCCCATGTAAAGTGAATCATGGGATACACTAGACAGGTCATCTGCTACTGAATACAGGTAACCATTCACAACCACATTTCATATGATGTAGTGTCCTACAACCCTAACCCAATCTTTGCTGCAGGGGTCTTGCTTCACAACATGTTCTCACTCCCAAAAACTAATATTTTATGCTAGGTGACAATTCATCAACCTATTACGCTTCCGGGCACCCAACACATCCCTAAATGATGAGATCGGAAAAACGAGGAAACATGAAAACCGTTTGGAATCAATCTACACGTGTTCGTTCATTTTACTTAAATCCTTTGGAAAACACTGTTTAACGTCATTATAGTGCTGGTTAAGGCTAGGGATAAGGTTATGATTAGCACTAGGGACAAGGTTGGGGTCAGGGCTAGAATACATGGCTGGAACGTGTATTACCGCAGGACTGTGATTGTACTGGATTTCACCCATAACTCGGCACGTAGCATAAGAACGCGGAAGGTCACCTTTCGCGTTCCTCAGGAACGCCGCAGGACTTGACAAATCGTCGGGATGTTCAACTTGGGAGTGAGAACGGGCTGTGCTTCAGGGTATGGGTTGCCAGCCAAAGAGAAAGCTCAGGCCCCTCATTTCAAAGGTATCCCAATGGTAGAAATTTGGATTTTAATGTGATAATGGCAAAATTATTCAAACTAAATTCATGTCTTTACTGATAACTGCAAAATTCTCCTGTAAGAATGTCTGACCTAATGTAAGGAAGGTCTAGCTGTAGCCACACAGTCTTTAAGGCTGATTTGATAACCAACAAACCACAGCAAACGTCACTACAATGAAGCGAATTCCACAGTTTGAATAATGTAAGTTAAGAATTTTTGTTAGGCTGTCAGTGTGTGGTAAATCTACAGCTCATTCTTATTCAATAATCTGATCTAATGTGATCTTTAAGATTGATCTGACTGAGCTAACCCAAGATTTGCCACATGATACAAAAGGAACTAAAGACGAAGATGCTTTTTTTATTAAACGGTATTTTCAAGTTCAATAATGAACTTTCAGTATTTACTTCAAGGTCAACGTGGATTCAAGTACGAAGGATATGGAAATGTGGAATCTATATTCTTGTGTTAATTCTGTTTTGATTTCAATCATACGAAACAACAGAATATTTGTAACATTTCAAAACATCGACCAGTCGAGCTTCTGATTATTGTTCCTTCAAACTAGGTGTAATGTGTGGAGTTCAGTGAAGCTGAACCTGATGGAAGAGAAAGTTATGGGAAATATGATCAAAATTTCTGGTTTTATTTTTGCCATCTTAATTGATTTTGTAAGAAAAAGAGGTCAGTGCAACATCAGTACACAGACATTTTCCAGCTATTAAATCCAACAGTTAAGTCAGAGATTTTTTTCTTTTGTTTTTGCCAAACAAAGCAGCAAAAATCAGGCTGGGAAGTTTTTTGTTTTTTCTTCTCATATTCATTCGTCAGGTTTAAAAATATTGAATCCTTCAGTTTGCATCATGTAACTTTTTCATTAGTAAAGTGTGTGTAATTGTGTTAAGTGCATAATTCTTTGATACTCCACAATCTCAGCTTAAAAAATGCTTTTCTGTGAACACGTTTCAGTATTTAAACCTGATCTGATAAGAATAATTGTAAAAAATGTCACTGGGACTTATCACCACATGACTTTCAATCAAACAACATACTGACATTTAAATGAGTTACATTTCTCTCACAGATAATTCATTTATGGTTATACAAAGACTCCTTGATCACAGCTATCTGTGTTTAATTACAGTTTTAGGATTTAAAAAAGAAAAACTAAAATTTCTTAAAGGTCACATTAAAACCTGTCTGACTTTTTTTTTCACTGTTATGTGTTAAATATATTTTTATAATCTGTATGAGCTCATAGGTCTGTGGAGTCTCCACCTTAAGAGATCTAAACAACAAAAATGTAAACATATGTCTCAGGATTATAAAGAAAATATTCTAAGATTTGTGCAATGACATAACTTTATAACAGCCTGTCTGTGCCCTTCAACAGCGGCACTTTCCTCTCTTTTTTGTTTTTTCATGTTTTTTTTCCATGTTTTTGTTCCTAATCCCTCCTCTCTTGCTGTGTCATTACAACTTTTCTCCACTCTCTGTTTCTGTGTATGTTACCATGTATTCCAGCCATGCCAGTGTTTAATTGGCATGAAGCAAGCGTTGTCTACTCGGGTTTCATAACTATCTTTCACTGTGACAGCAGTGTGCATGTATCTTTGTGTGTTTTCACATGTTACCTATTTGACTTCACTCTGTTAATGTGTGTGTGGATCGTTGCTGCTATTCATGAGCAGCCCCACATTTTACTGTTTAAATGAGAGGTCATTTGTAAAAGCCACAATAATGTGACTCACTGTTTTCTGAGGTGCTGGTACTCTAGGCCACATAGCGTCTGTAGTTTTTTATTATTATTATTAATATTTACTTACATTTAGCTAGCAATAGATCACCAAAAGACTGTTCTCCTCAGCATGCCAATAGATGTTGTCCAGCATTGGATAAACATACTCAGGATCTGAATGGTTAGTTGTTGTTGGGGGTCTTTTTGTTTGGGTTTTTTTTTAATCTATATAAATACATAAGCTTTGTGGCAAGGTGCCAAAATAGCAGTCCAACAAAAAATGTCAGCCAAATCTGTTTGTTTGTTTTTTCCTGTGTTTTGGATTAAGATCTTGTTTCCTTTTCAAATTTTTTCACTCTCACTTTGTCCTTCAAGGCCCGTGTACTAAACATATGTTCCAGATAAAGTAGGAATGATAAAATTTATGAAGCTCCATATTCTTGATGAAAAGTGTGATGAAAGAAATTTCCAAATCAAATTCCTTGTTTCCTTCAATTAATGTTCAACATAAAGCAAGCATGGGAACAAATAGAGAAGGCTCATTATTCATACTTGTATTAAATTCATTTATATTTTGTACTATATCAGTGTAGTATCACTGTGCAATAGCCTAGACACTGTATAGAAACACTTTGGCTCTAAAGCCTCCATCATGACTCACTTCTTATAAA